AGCTTGCAGTGACCTTGAATTAATGGTGGATCATAATTTGACAAAATCCAAATAAGAGATTTTATATATTTTATTCTTAAAGATGTTTGTTTATTTTATTTTGGTTTTTTCGCCAGGGCTAGGTTTGAACCCGCCACCTCTGGCATATGGGGCCAGCGCCCTACTCCTTGAGCCACAGGCACTGCCCAAGATGTTTGTTTATTTAAAGCAAGGAAAACATGGCTCAGTATCTTTTTTTTTTTTTTTTGAGACAGTCTCAGTTGCCTTGGGTTTTAGTGCTCTGGCATCATAGTTCACAGCAACCTCAAATTCTTGGGCTCAAGAGATCCTTTTGCCTCAGCCTCCCCACTAGCTAGGACTACAGATGCGGGCCACGGCTCCCAGCTATTTTTAGAGGCTCTTGTGCTTGCTGAGACTGATCTGGAACTCCTGAGCTCGAGCAATCCACCTGTCTCAGCCTCCCAGAGTGCTAGGATTATAGGCGTGGGCCACCGTGCCTGGCTAATGGCTCTGTATCTTTCAAACAAAGTAAATATAGGGACAGATTTTTTTAATTCTTAAACATCTTCAGTAATCACTGCAGAATATAAGAAGTGCCAATTATTGCTAAGGGATAATTATTAATAAATAGCAAAACTGTGAGTAAAACCTCAATATTCTAATAGTCTAATTTTTAATATACTCCAAAGGTCAGCAAACCGTTGCCCGAGAGCCAATCTGGCCTGCCAAATATTTTTGCTAAAGTTTTATTGGAACACAGCCAGATCCATTTGTTAAAGTATTTTCTATGGTTGCTCTCCATAATAGCATCTTTGAGTAGCTGGAACGGAGACTATATGCCTGTAAAGTCAAAAATATTTACCATCTGGCCCAAATGACAAAACCTTCTAAAACTCTGAAATGATTGTGTAAAGACCACTGACTTACTTCCAGAGCTCCAACTCTTATTAAACATCAACAAGTCTCTATGGTTGTTTAGAGACTTACTAAACAACCATATTGGACTAGAAAGATTTGGTGAAGGGTTTGAGGGGAAAGGGAGATAATTAGTCATCTGCACCACAGCAGGTGAAGTCATTGCAGACACCTCCATCACTAGGTAACTTGGAGAAAGGACAGAACTTGCAGGAACTCTTGAACATTTAACTCTTTCATCTACAAGTGCAAGAAGAGGTCAACCTAGTTGACCACTACACATTTTAATCTCTGTGATTATCTAAAATGACTTAAAGTAAAACCGTAAGTAAACTCAGAACCATTTGAGTGCATGAGCTAAACCTCTCCTAACATCTGCCTATGTTGAGAGTGGGGAAGTAGTACATTTTAGAAAAATGGAAGCAAAATGGTTAAAGAAGGGTATGTGGAAGTTTCTTTTCTTAAAATTTTTCAGTAAATTTGAAATTATAACAAAACAACAACAACAAAAAAAAAAAAAACAGAAAAACAGTGACAACAGGTTGAGTATGGTGACTCATGCCTGTAATCCTAGGACTCTGGGAGGCCAAGGCCGGTGGATTGCCTGAGCTCAGGAGTTTGAGACCAGCCTGAGCAAGAGCAAGATCTCGGCTCTAAAAAATAGCTTGGCATTGTGGCAGGTGCAGGTAGTCATAGCTACATAGGAGGCTGAGGCAAGAGGATCACTTCAGCCCAAGAGTTTGAGGCTGCTGTGAGCTATGATGCCACAGCACGCTACCAAGGGTGTCCAAAGTAAGACTCTGCCTCAAAAATAAAATATGGTTAAAACAAAATAAAATAGTAAAAAATAATTAAAACAATTTTAAATGTTAGCACTTAAAAGGGAAACTTCAATGACCTTCTTCAACATGCAAAGTTAATGTGATATATAGATAAAACGTCTGTCAAACATCCAACCACGTCCAGCATGGCTGTTGAATAATGCATGCTCAGGCCAGCAGACTACTCTTCCTCTCTCTCATTCTGCATCCTAAAGTATTATCTTCCAAATTTTACCCTTTGAATTTATCTTACTTTCCATAAAACAAGCTGGTTAATAACTAAAGAGATCACAGACAGGCAAGAAGCCAGAGGTGGAGAGAAGAGTAGAAGGAAAAGGGAAAAGGAGTAATGAGGCCAAGGAAAGGATGGAGGGGAGAATCAGGAATAAAAGAGCCTCCTTCATCAACAAACTAGACTGACACGTTCCAAAGGACCACAAGTGTGAACAGGCCTTTGTGATCCTGTCTTTGGCAGAATAGGAAGCAAACTTAAGCGATACACTTGACTCTCCTACGATACATGTGCATCCCTTACATTTCATATGTACACCTATTACATATTCAAAAAAGAGATGAGTTATTTTTATAAAACACAAACACTAAGCAAAAATTATGCTAACTGAAAAAGTGCCTAGAGAGCCACACACATCCACGTTGTTAAATATAGAAGCTAACTGTAATGAGAATCATTATCTCCAGTTTCCAAGGATACCAGAATAAGCACTACTCCTAAATTGCAGTTCATTCAGCAAAGGGCAGAGAGTCATTTATATTCAGGGTCATCCCTGATAGCAGATGTGGAGGGAGGACCAGGGTAAATCACCCTGCTTGTTCCATTCTGTTTGTGAACTACTCCAGGTCCTGGTCCCCAGTCCCCACCCTCTGGTCCTAACCTTGGCCAATGTTTTATGGGGAAAATTGGAAAATCTGCTTGTCAACAGCAACTTCCAAGAGAAAACAAAACCCACAAGAGGCAGGGCAGTCCGAGGTGCGATGAACACTGGGGGTGGGGTGGGGGTTGGCTTCCCTATTTGCTTTGTCTGCGGAAAGGAGCGGAGGCTGGTTTTGTGTGCCAGTCACACTAGTCGCCATCTTTTCCAGTACCTATAAAGAAACTGCACAGTTAATTTCAACTTCCCACCCAACCAAGGCCATGTGAGGCATTTGAAGCCTACCACTCCTACACTGCCATGTCTCTAGAATTAAACTCATCTTCAACTCACTCACAGGATTGAGTCCTTCTGTAACAATCACTTTCTGTTTGTACAGCTACAGAAATAGAAAAACTACTTTCTGACAACCTAGGAGATATTGCCTCTGAATCATTTGTTTTTTCAAGATGGCTGATTGATTGCTTTCAATGTGGCAGGCACCGTGCCAGGTCAGGTAGTCAGTGGGGAGAAGGGACAGGATCACCAGGCAAAGTGTCTATAACTAATGGTGTCCTAAACTTAGGCAGTTTACGAAGAGGCAAATTATCACTTAATAAAATAGTGATGCAGGTTTTATAGATACTTGAGATCTGTCTTAAACTTACAGAAAGTACATACAAAAACATGATCCAAATTTGAGAAAAATTTTCCATTTAGTTTCTTCCCCATCACCTGTCTAGCTAATACAGGAAGACCTCCCATGCAGCACTTCTGCTAGGTACAAAGAGGTGCTTGCCAAGGAAAGAGCTCTCTCTGCCTTCAAATGTCTCCTCCTGATAGACAGGAGACACTGTACCAGGCTAAGCTTCTTAGCTTAATGTGATAATACAGAATAAGCTGCCTATTTTGATAATGAAGACCTTCTAGGACTTCCCTCCTTTGTGCCGGTTACATTGATACTGGTCACTGTTTTTAAGAGGGAGAAAGAATGAAATACAACATAGGTCCCTAACAATTATGTAACATACACGGTACCAGGGCAAGCTATTTCAATACTAACACTTAATACAAAAATTACAACCTGTTTCATCCTATACATTTTAGATGACTTGAATATCAGGTATATAGATGTATTGTCATGAAAATTTCAGTACAGCCCAATATATATACTTTTAAACAGACTATTTTTTTTTACTATCATATTGTTTCTAAATCCAGTACAGAAAGTATTAAGACCCAAAGTCTCAATTTTGAAGCTTTGCAAACGCTTAATAAGTTAAGGTTAAACTAAATAGGGCACTATTAATCTGGTTCCCTCCTCCCACTCAAAGCTAGTTCTTGGTAGGGCAAACACATAGACACTTTGTTAGGTGAACAGAAAACACAGAAACTATTCACAAGTCACTGGCAAAAAGGTCACCCTCTATTTTAACATTTTTTCTGATAACCCAGATCAGTTTCCACAGACCTGTAAAGATAGAAGCCAGCTTACCTTAAGCGACATAATTGACATAATTGTATTTTCTACTTGAGGACAGTCAACTGCACCCCCCACCCACCAATCTTCAACACTGAAAGGACCCCAGTCACCAATTCAGGAGCCTAGAACCTGGACCTGAGCCTCGTAACCCTCAGGATGTAAAATCTCAGATGATCACCTCTCTCTGCTATTCTAACATTTAAATTACAGTCTTCTTTCTGTGTTATGTCTTTGGAAATACTTTCTAGTAGTGCACCACCCCTTTTTAACTACAAAGTATCCAACTGGCAATCTTCAAATTATAAAGGCTGTAGAAAACGCCCCTGAGCGCTGCTGCAAATTTTTGAAAAGTAGATTAATGACAACCAGACAGGGATCAAGGTCCACAGCCCCAGCCAGCACCCCGGCGCGGTCTGGAGCCGCTCGTATCCCGGGCCCAGCTTCCAGCCCTCCATACTCCAGTGCAGCCTCCCCGGCCTCGCTTCTCCACGGAGGTTGCGAGCAGCAGAGACCACAGTTGTCCCGGGTACCGTCCCGCAGATCTATGGGGCGCTGCTGGGGTGGCCGTGGTTAGCGGAAGGCGGCGGGAGGCTTGGCTGCGTGTGCGTGGGGTGGAGGTGACATCGTAACCGGAGAGTTGCGAGGGGAAGGCAGGGCAGTGCCAGCGGCAGGAGGCTGCCTGGAGGCTGCTTTCGGCCGCGGGGCCAGGGCGGAGCGGGCGGTTGGCAGCGCCCAGGGCGCACAGCAGCCTCCGGGGTGGGGAGAGTGGAAACGCGGCTGAGCAGCCCGGCTCCCGAGTCCCAGGACCGTCCGGCTGGGCTGCCCATGGGGGCACGGGCAGGCTGGCGACAGGACAGCGCCCTCCCTCCGGGCGCCGGGGGATGGGCCCGAGCTCGGGGGACGCGCACTCACCTATGCACAGCTGGATGGCGTAGGCGTAGTAGGACCAGCCGAGCAGGAGGCTGATGAACACCACCGGGATCCAGTACAACACCCGCCGGCACCGCCGCCTGGCGCTGCCCGGGCCCGAGGGCGCCATCTTCCAGCCGCATCCACCT